AGACCAGCCGTATTCATATGATGGCCCAACAGGCATCGGGGGTTGTGAAGCTGGCGTTCGTGTGGCGTGAGAAATCTGGGGAACTGCAAGTGCGTCGGCTGCTCAGAAATTTGTGTAGGGATTTTGGCCTCGCAATTGCAAATCCGCCTGGTGTCCCCACACACCGTGCGGGTTCTTCCATCGATTTGGTGCTTGCATCGCGTGATCTTGTCATCCGTAACATGGTTGTGCATGATGGCCATTCCTGTGCGTGTCCGACAGCCTCATGTTTCCCGTTTCTCGGTGGTGATCACAAGCTCATTACATTCGAAGTTTTGTTGGAGCCATGTGGCACAGAGGCTACAGCCCCATGATGGCCACGCGTGCGCGATTGGAGGCCACTGGTGCAGGCGTTGCGCCCCCAATTATTGAGCTGGTCGGCTAAAGTGTGTTCCTTCCGCCACGATGGCTGTCATTATTCTGCTGACGCTCGCCCTGCAATGCTTGATGTTTTGTACGGAGAGTTTGTTCAGATGTTTTGGGCTGCGGCCACCCACTTAGGGACGGCATGATTGACAACAACATAGACGACGCCACTGACCTCGGATTCCTGGCTATCGACGGGTTGGCTTCGAAAACGATGACGGGAAAGCAAGCGCAGATGGTCAAGAACGGCGTCGACAACATCAAGAAGAAGGACCGCTTGGTTTGGAACCGTTTGTGTCCTCGTGGGGCACGACGTCGACTCGCACTTCCGCGCGGATGCCGGACCTTCTTCCTGGAGATTTTTTCTGGATGCGCCATGCTGAGCACTCTGGCTCACGACAGTGGTTTGCCGGTGAGCCAGCTGATGGACATACGTTACGACCCCGTGTTCGACCTCAAGACCGAGGCTGGTCGTCATTTTGTGGAAGGCAGGATAGCTGAGGACGACTCATACCTCACCACCTTTGGGTGTGCGGACCTTGGTCTGCGTGGCAGCGAGTAAATATGGCGAAGGGACCTGAGCAAGAGGAAGAAATCACTCGGCAACGCAAGAAATGGAAACCAGTGATTCGCTGGATGGCCAGGGTTGCCCTCGACCGTCTCAAGAAGGGCAGACAGGTGCTTGTCGAGAACCCAGCAGGCGTTGAACTCTGGAACCTGTGGGACATGTTGAAGCTTCTGAGATCCAGCGAGGCCATGGGCGACCCTGGAGTTCCTTGAGCGCATCAACATTGACCTCTGTGCCTATGGCCTCCAGGATGCTCGCACTGACATGCCGCGTCGACAGCAGACCTCCATCGCAACAAGGTCCCGATCTTTGAAGGGGGCGTTTTGACAACATGGAAAATGCAGCGGAGATCACCACCGCGTTCCCTTGGAAGGAGGGAACCGCCGCCGAGAAGCCCAAAAATGGACCGAGGAGTTTTGCGAAGAAGTCATCCGCTCTCACCTCAATGACCTCGACCACCTCCTGGTACGTTCTGCTTTTCCTGCCAAAAGCCAGCTCGAGAAGCAGGACGATGAGCCGAACGACGTTTCCGACGCCCTCGATGCCATTCTCGACGAGAACGACCTGGCGACCGGTGGCATTCAAGGACGACTCGTGGATGAACATAACCTGGTCAACGAAGAGCAGGTCGGCGTCGCTCTGGGAGGCCACTGGCTAGGCCTCCCCTGGAGGTGGCCTGGAAATGCTGGTATTTCAGGGTGTGTGAGGGCGGGAGCCCAAAAAGGACGCGAAACCCACTACCAAACCCAACGTCCTCGCAAAAAAAGGGTGTTTGGAAGAACTGGACCTGCAAAGGCCTCCAGGCGTCTCCAGGGGTCAACCCTGAGGTTGAGAATTTGGAAGCCGAACCTCGTGGGCGTGCGCGAACGGAAGCGGCATCCGTAGGCGTCCGGTTCCAGCTTTGGCCACTGGCCTGTCTAGATTTCAGGCCACGACTGATGGGGGAGGACCCCCGGTGGGGCTTTAGGCCCGTGTCTTGCCAGTGCGTGAAGCGATGCCACAAACCGCTCGACAGTCTCGGCCGTGATGTCGCTGCTCTCACGCGCCGTTTCGCGGGTCGTGATCCATCAACCGGACCCCTTTTTTATCTTGGATTTGGATTATGGGACACAGGGCAAAAAAAAAACACAAAAACAGCAGGGCAACTGCGTGTACTGGTGTAGAGCAGGGCAATTCCGTTTACTCTTGGGGTGCGATCAAGTCACACTGACGTGAAGCGTGAAAGCCTCGAAAAAAAATGCAATTAAGATAGGAAGCAGCGTGGGTGGGGGGAGGGCGGGAATGTGTTTTTGTTGTTGTTGTTGTTGTTTGGGCGGGTGCGTGTTTTATTTTGTGCTGTTTGGGCGAGGGTGTGTTTTGTTTTCTGTTGTTTTCGCAGTGGCCCCGCCTCCGCCCAAACAGCCACAAAAAACACGCCAGCGCCCGAACAACAACAAAAAAACGAAACCCCCAAACAACAAAAAACACAGACAACAAACAAATAAACACCCTTGACACATTGTTGAGCCAAGCTGTGTGCAAGCAGTACAACCATCTCGAACCAATGCAATTTTCCCACGCCTTTTTACGCCTGCATTGGAGGGTCCCGTCGGAGGCAGAGGCGAGCCCTACGCACAGGCAGCCGTTGGCGGCACAATGGCTGGGAGGCGACTGGCCAGGACAGAGCGTTCCGGACGGCCGTCTACACATATTTGAATCGTCTTTTGCTGCTGTAATGAAAAATGTTACCAAACGTGTTGCCAAGCAATGCAATCAGCCCTGGCCATGCTCAAGCGTCGATTTGAGGTCGGCCGTGACGTCCCCTGAGGTGGACAAAGCACCCCTCAGATACGTAATAAAAAATATTGTTTTCGGACTTTTATGCCTGCATGCACGACATGATCTCTTTGGGTCGGCTGCTACCTACCGCAGGCCGGCCGTCAGCGCGCCCGCCCCGGCGCAGGTAGGCGGCTGGGCGCCACAGGGTCCGCGGCCCGGGCATCCGCCAGCACCTCCGCCAAGGGCGGTTCCGTGCCGTCGCATTCGTCTGCCGCATCCAGTGGCAACTCCAGCAGAGACAAGGCCTGAACAACATGAACCAACCGGCTTAGCACACCACACGCTTCAATATCCGGATTGGCACTTTTCAGTTCCCATGCTTGTTGCAGCAAATCCCTGGTGGAAGCGTCTCGTTGCAGCTGGCGACGCCAAATGCGCAATGGGTCCAACAATTCAATGGCCTCAACATCGATCCCGAGCCCTTTGAACAAGATAGCAGGCGCAACTGCCATGTTGGGCCCACGATTGTCATAATTCCACAGAGTTTCCTTAAGGATCTTCATGTAGTCTTGTTTTGCAAGGCGTGAATAACTGCCATGTTCCGTGCCAAAGCTCGTGGCCGCAGCAGCAAACACCTCCACAAGGTAGCCCCGCACTTTTGGGGGCCCAGGAGCCCGACGTATCCTGCGCAAGATTGCACTAAGCCTGCGTAGGCGCTCATCCTGCTGTTCGTCCGGGAACCCAGTTGCGAAAGCAACTAACGCCCCCAGCAGTTTACCGGATGCAACCATCGAGATGGGTGTGGACATGTTGCCGGAGCCTGTCCCCGACAGCAAATGAGACTGATTTATCCCCATTGAGAAGGCCACCACTGAAAGAGACGAACTCAATCGAAACCTGCAGTATGAAATCCACTGTTTCGGCATCAGGCTCGTGAGCGCTGGAATCATCATAGTAGGAATAAGCCACAGCACGGGGCTCGAATGGCAAGATCCCGGTGCCATACTGCAAGTGCTGCCTCCCTTGCACGCGAGAAATGTGCGACTGACTGTCATGATGCAGCGAGCATGCGGTGATTTGCCAGGGGACGCCCTGACGCTGTGGAGGTTTGGGCTTGCGTTGTGCGAGGAAGCGCACCAGGCCCCATGGTTTCACGCCTTTTTCCGTGATCGAGCCCATGAGGTTGGGAGCCTGTCGCGGGCCCTGCTGCTCCCGAGGCCGAGCAGGACTTGGGATGTGTGCGATGCGTCAAATAATGCTTGCATTGTGTATACATTATAAATTATACACGATGATGTTTCACATCGGAAATAAATACTGACTGCAAGACCTTTTTGACATGTGTTTCAAGACTAATGGAGCTGCTTCCACGCGACCGGCTGACTGACTGACTGACCGACACCGACCCCACGTGCGCCTGAGGGTGCGGATGCGGGCTGCAGGAAAGGGGCGAAGGGCAATGGGCACCAGGACGACGAAATGCTGCAATTTACAGTACAGGGCCACCACAGAATCAAAAGAAATGCGAATCAAAAATCCGTCGCAAAACTTCAGGGGGTGCATGGAGGGCGGCACAGGGCTGGCAAATAAGTTCGCAGGCATCGTAAGCATCGAAACCAGCAAGTGCATCATGCAGGCGATGGACCTTGGAGGAGCTGCAGCCAGGCGCCCTTGAAAGCTCATGTGATGTCGGAATTCATTTTTTCAGGATGATTGTTGCAGTCAATCGGCGCATCCACACCGGCAGGACCAGGGCTAGAGTCTACTAGAGGGTAGCTGGGGGCGGAGCACCGGCAATGCCCCAACTACCCTCCCGCGTATGAAAGGCAAGTGGACGCGGGCTGTGACAATCTGCTGAAAACGGGAGTGGCTCTCGTCACGGACAGCGTGCCCCGAAAGGAATCTCGGCCCTCTGGTGATGTCAAATGGACGCCACAAGCGCGTGGGATTCAAGTAGCGACTAGACAACTGACCTCCCCGTGACAAAAAGGCTTCAGCTCGGCGACGCGATGTCAAGGCAAAGCGCAGTGCTGGACAAGAGCTACCCGTTGGGACTACCCGTTGAGGAATCGCCTGCTATCCTGGGCTTCCTCGCTCTACTTAGCCGTGCGTGGGGCAGGCACACTGCACATGGTGATGCAAGGGACAAAGCTCGTGTGCTGTGTGCCTACTGGAAGCCAAAAGGGAGCTCCAAACAGTGCTTGAAGTGCCAGCTTGCAACTTTTTTAACTCTGGCCATCTGGCAACAAGCTCGCATATACCCACAGGCTCATTCCGCGCCTCGAGTGCAGGCATGTTCAAACGTCGTCTTCAAAGAACGTGTTTGCAACCAGGTGCAGGGCGGAGCACGAGGTGCACACCAAACTCATCCTCAAACACCTGCATGGAAGACATCCAGTCCACCTGATACTGCTCAGCTGAATTCCACCTGTGACAGCTCGTTCTTCTGAAGGGAGAATCCGATATCCTGAAAAAAAATTGAAAATCTGTTTGCCTGGAGCCATGCTTTAAAGCTAATGACCACCCCCCGGGCCGTGTCGCCTCCACCTTCTGGTGCAGGCTGCCTCGCTCGACCAGTCCCAGGTCACCACCTGAAAGCATTAAAGAATACTTGGCACCCCTGGCTGGCCCGTGAGCTTTGTCTAAGGCTCGGGCCATTTTTGGATGACGGGTCATCTGAATGATCCCGCGCAAGCTCAAAAAACAGGAGCCTCATCTTGCTTCAGTCTCACGCAGTGGTATCTCAGGTGGCCCGAATGTAGACTCTGGCCTGCGGTACCGCGCTTTGCTACAAAGATCATGCTTTACAAATTGATTCGAGGCGAAGTCGCTGCATTGCTGGAGCTGCAGTGAGCCGCTTTCGGAGATTCCTTTGAGAAGCACATCAAATTGAAAAGGCAATCTTGCCGAGCTTAAAGAGCTGAGCTCTGGGCTCCAGCGCAACCTTCGCCTGTTCCACTTGTCCGGTATCTCCGCGGATTGCTTTTCTCTAGTCCCAGGCCTTTCCCTTGGTGCAGCTGATCTCCCCTCCATGCCAATTCTCCGGCTTGCGGGCGCCCTTGTATTTCTTGAGAATATGGAAGAGGTGGACCTACAGCCATCTAAGCAAATTCATCTTAGGTTGCACATTAGGAGCAATATGTTTCACCAGCGCGCCTTGTCAGCTGAAGCCTTGACCTTCTTGGCCTGGGGCTCCTTTGCGACATCGCCCTGACAAAGACTGCACGGCTGTAGCATTGCTATCGCGAATGTGGTAGGGCAAAGACAAAAGGGACACTTTGGGGTTCCAGTGGTAGAGTTCGTTCAGGTTCAAGCACTCCCAATCGCCGAAAACACTGATCCGGATTTGGGCTATCGTGGCAAATGGTAAGGCATCTTAAGGCATGAGCACGGCCTCGTGTGCCGTGCTTGCCACTTACAATGCTAACAGCGTTGTCCGCATGTGCACATGCCTGGACCTCTCCGCAGTCTGTGATGACGGCCTTTGCATCACCAAGACCTGGCCTTGCATCACAACACACACACACACCCTCACTGCAGCATGTACATTCAAGCTTTGACAGAAGAAGCACAGCCACCACAGTCATGATGGTCACTGCATGCAAAAAGAGAGTCAATGTAACTTAAATCGAGACAATTAACAGAAGGACAAGAAGCACAACAAAACAGACAAGATCGGGGCATTGTCAAGCGCTTGTCTTCAGCGCAGTTGATTTGTGCTGCTGCTGTGACTTGTTCAAACCTATTCCCCGAGCCATGAACTTGCTACAAATAGAATGAGAGAGAGAGAGAGAGAGAGAGAGCGAGAGACCGTTTCAGTGCGCCGTCTGAAACTTCACTTCCCACCGAAGCAGCTCGCGGGGGGAAAAATGTGGGTTCGTTGAGATCTTGCCCTCCTTGCATGTTTTTTGAGTACTTGTGAAAAATTCAAGCAAAGCAACCTTTCAAACCTTGGAAGCAACATCACAACATGCAGTGCATGTAAATTGGCATGGTTGGAAGCCGTACAACAAGTTTCGAGTGTTGAAGAGCTTCCAATCTTGCAAAGGACGGACAGATGATGCCTTTCATCTGGACTGTAGCATGATTGCACACTCGCATTTGCAAGATCGCACTTCAAAAATTGAATATTTTGGATGCTTGCTTGATGGGAGTGATGCTTGCGAACTTACATGCGTTTGCCAGCAACTATTGAGGTCCCGAGCCGCACAATTGCGTTATTACACCTAGATTTCTTGTTTACCTACGATGTTGGATGATGTGATGTACGGAGTCTACAGCTTCTTATTCATGGAATCGCACGAAATCGCCTTTCGCATTCCTGACGTTTTCTACGCTGTAGAAGACGTCAGGAATTAGCCGAGGAGGCTGTCATGAGCTCACTTGCTTGTTTTCGCTCTCGCATCTACGCAAAGGCACGTCGGAATGGAGAGGCGAGGTCACAAAGTGCACATCTATGGCCTCAAGGTTGACCTCCAGCTATCTGGAGATTTCGTTCGAACATGCGATCCCCAATCCGGCGCTGAGGCTTCATAACGCAATTGCATACACCCGGGACCTGCACTTGTCTTTTGAAATCACTCAGGCAAAGCCAATAGACTTTTTGCTCTTGGCAAAGTGATTCATCCAAGTGTACTCCGTTTAGGTCCCGTTCTCACCCGATCTTCTGCACGTTCGCCAAATCTTTGGGCAACGTTCAGCCGCAATCAGGACGGCATTGACAGGTTCTGCACCGTTTGGACTACGCCTTGTCAGAGTCGGGCACCATGTATCTTGCCAGGTACCATGCACTTGGAGCAAAGCTGAGCTTTTTCCGCAGCAACTTACTTTTCTTGCGTCAGTGTGAGTAGCCAAATTTCCTTGAATCATGAAGCGCGCCGCGCGGCTCCCAATTCCAGTTCCATAGATGATACGCACAAGAAGTCGGAGTGCCCAGTACAGGCTCCATGACATCCACGTTGCCAACACAATCTAGCGTGGAGGACTTTAAGCAATTCGTCGCCGATATGCTGAAGCACCAAGCAGGGTTGATTGTTTAAGCGTATTCAGTTCTTTCTTTTCTTTGTGGGTGAAAGGGGGTTCTACAACCCCTCCATCATACAACATGGAGAGCATCTACCTTACCAGGCAGCACTCATCGCCAATCTGACAAGACTTCTCTAAAGTTCCCGCGGGTAGCAGTACTTCAGGGCCAGAAGCCACTGCTGAGTGACCTGCATCAGAATCAACTTTGCATATGGCTCGCCTCCCGCCCCCTCGCGCCGCAAGAGCAAAGTCACCCGAGAAAACTGCGAAAGGTCGGTAGCTGGCAGTGGTGCCCAACTCCATTCTGACGACCTTTGCCCGGTTCTGCAGTGGCCCAACTTATACTTCGCGTTGGACCATCCGTCCTCTGTGGCGTAAGCCGGGTCGTGGGCAGAGAGCCGAAAATGCCGCCCCTGCGGCTTGCGGACCACCTGCACATGATCAGCCACTTGGCCTGCATTCTTGTTTGTTTTTTTTTTCTTCGGTATTTGAGCATGCTGTGTCTTACTATTTTCTTACTGCGGTACTTGCGCAAGTTTTGTACTACTAGTTGCTATTTCGGAGTGTGAGCATGTTCTGTCTTACTCATCCCTTTCTCTTGCCGTATTTGCACAAGTCGTGTATTAGTATTTACTTCGGTATTTGCGCATGTTGTGTCTTACTATGTTTGCGTGTTCCTGCATGTTCTGCATTGTTATTTACCACTTATTTCGTATTTTCAAATAACATAAGTATAAAACCCCTTTACGGGGGTCGGTGTGTGTACCCCCTGCTTGCCAATTCCAAGGGTTGTTGTTTTTTTTTCTTTTCGCACAAATTCTACATGAGACAGCAGGGGGCCGGTGCTCTCCCTGGATGTCATCGGCCAACGAAAACACCCCCAAGGAGGGTCAATCCGTGTCTCCGTGTGTAACACCTGATCTGCCTCCTTAGGGTATAGCAGGCTGAAAGATAACACGCTGAGCGCAGGGGGAATGCCTGTGGAGCTCGATCTAACAAAGCTCTCGACAGTGTCCTAAGGATATGAGAAAGGGACGCCTTGCTCACGTACTGGAACATGAACCGTTACTTAGATTCATGCAACGCTACCTATTGCTTCGCAAGCTGTTGTTCTTGATCCTGATAGTCTTGTTAGTACTACTGACGGTGAAGGGCCTCAGAGCACAGATGTCCAGGCCTTATTACATGCAACCTTGACAGTGTTGATGTTTGAGTTTTGGACGATTGGACACATCAGTAGTTTTGATGGTTTGACAGATGAGTTTGACAGTTGGAGCAGATGTTACTTCGGGCAGCATCAAGTACTATAGCAGCACATTGCGTATGTGGCATCGAACATTGGGAGAACAATCGACGAGGGTCTTACATGCGGGTGTGTGAATAACAGCCCACGTTCTGTGCAGATGAGGCCTGCTCGCGAAAAGATTGAATGACTCTAAGCGCCACACCGAAACGCCAACACACCATGATGCTTCTGTGCTCGGCCTGAGATGCTGCACATGAGGACATGCCATTGCGCTAGCTCCACGCTGCCTGAGATTCTGGCAAAGCTCAGATCCAGCATCTGCTGTGCCGCAAGTTTCTTCAATGCCTCAGGAAGCGAACCACAATGCCTTACCGCAAACCCTCTAGCAAACTGCGGGTCACAGCCGGAAATACACAAGTACATAAATTGGGGACAGAGCAGCATTCCAAAGCTATTTGAGACGTCGGCGTCGCACTGTGCTCATGCCTTCCACCACGCGCCCAAACACCACGTGCTTCAAATCCAGCTTTGGATATGCCTCACGCAAGTCAATTGAATCCATCACGGCATCCTGACTTTGCGGATTACCACCCACCTTTGTCAAAATGAAGAACTGGGAGCCTAAGTCCAGACACAACTAGAAAGAAAATCGGACAGGTCAGCGCCATCCCAGCGCCAGGCTGTTTGTGTTTGGCCCCCTGTTTGCCATGCTCAGCAGCCCTTCCAAATCGACTACTTCACTTTGCTCCACAACAGTATCACACAATACTGCAGATTTGACGGGGCAACCCAGGCTAGCCTGCGGAGTCGTGAGATAGGTCAAAGCTTTCATCCTCAAAGGTCGGACCAAAAACCTGAACTCAAGACTCGCAACGCGATCCACACCATTTGCAGACAAACAAGCTGCCGGCTGATTCCCCTCCTGTGCCATCGCCTCTGGTGATATCCCCACCTGTAGTGGCGGATCATGGAAATTCTGCACCGGAATTCTGAGTTTCTGTCGCCTTGGATGGCAAAGCCTGGCACCACCTCGGGCTTCAGCCCCAAGACCCACTTGATGCATTTTCACATCAGGCCCCGGCGCGATGAAAAGCATTGCCCTTCAAGTGTAGCGGTTTCCCCGCCCTTTGCAAGAGCAGTGAGGGATGAGGGCATCCAGACAAACCCAGACATCTACGTTTCTCCGAGACTTCTGCTCCCCCATGCCTTTCTCTCCAGTGCACAAGCACCGAAAATTCTCGGCCTCGACAACTTTCTGACGAAAATAAACGAGAAGGCTAGGGCCCTTCGAGTGCTGAAGTGGCGGAAAGCTTTCCCAAAACAAGATGTTTGTCTGCTGCAGGAAATGTTGCAACATGTTGCACCGCTTCCACAAAGGATTCTACACAACACAACCCTGCCAGTCCGCAATTGCAGATTCACTGCAAACGCTGTGAGTAACCACACTGCACGTAGATCTAGCACAATAGCTGTTTCTGGATGAGCTTGCGCTGCCTATTCGCAGACAACAGTTGGCGCAACCATCATGTTGATGGAAACATGGTGCTGGTCCGCGGCAACAAACATACTGACAATGATGTGCGGATTCATGGATAAACGAAACCACAAAGTGCGATCAGGGAACCCCAGTCTAACCATGCCACCATCATCAGCCAATAGAGGCCCTTTGCTTTTGCTGTTTGCCTCATGCACCACCCTGCTGGGTTGCTGCCTGCTGACGGGCTCGGTACCGTTTCCATGCTCCGTGCCCTTCCAAAAAACCGTCAAGGGATGCCTAGCACGACGGGCTGGCGTCAAAACGCACTCGGCTATGTTGGGTAAACCCAATCATACCAAGCAACCCAAAGAAACATCATGAACATCGTGAACTTGGCCCCCCGATGCTCCCCGCCTGATTTCCCGCCATCGACCAAAGTGACTGCATGGTGCTGGGGGGCCCCCAGCATCATCAGCATCGTGAAGGTTCGCTTCTTTACCTCCCAAGCTCTCACCGTTTCAGACTGCGACGTGTGCAGCTTTATGGAAAAGGGCAAATTCCCATGCGGGCTAGATGGCATCAGATGCATCAGATTATGTTAGGTGGAGCCTTTCTGCGTTTTCCAGCGATTTGCAGGAGGATTTCCTCCGTATAAGGACTGGAAACCTCTGGAAGCGAACATGACTATGCGATGATGCTGGCTCATTCGTACGAGCAAAGTTGACACTTGCCCTGAAGTTGTGTCCCGCATACCTTCACTTCTCAAGCTCTAGACGTCAGCCCCACCCCCTGAATTCTCCTTCGCCGGAAATTCCACTACATCTCTGGATGCTTTCTGCCTTGTTGGAGCCTGAACAGTCTGAATCTTGGGTCCGGGTTGTCCTTTTTCATTGCGTCCCCCGCCGTCATTTTATTTTCGCCTGCTCTTAAACAGCTGCACTAATGATGATCCCAACAGTTTGATGCATATCATGGTTTTAGTATTCTGACTATTGCTCAGTGCTGGATTCAAAAAAAGAAAAGCAGGTAACACAATTATGGAAATTGCCTGTTCTAATATCTAGCCGCCATTTCAGCGATCCCATGGGACGAAGCTACTTCTGCCGGGGTGAACACACATCACTCGGTGAGAATACACACCATCTACTGCCGACGCTGGCCTTTGGGAAGATTACACACGTCAGAAAATGATAATCCCATTGTAGATGCTGATTCCAGGGCAACCCGACATAAGGGTGGGTTTTCCCATTCTGCCGCGGACACTGGGGTTTGAGAAGAAAATCACAAGATTTAAGTTGTAAGTTGCGTATGATTCGCCATGTAGACGCTGGTTTTACTCATGCCCCGACATGGGATGCTGAGATGCTGCCATTTCCGTCTATATCAATGCGTCGTGGACCAAACAGGCCGCCCGAGACGCTTTTCGATACGAAACGATTGAGCCATGGCCCGTATACAATCAACGTAAGAAAAGGTGGCCTTCGATGAGTTGCAAAGAACTGCATGGATGTGGCAATGTCTCATATCTAGTATTTCCGGGAGGGAGACACAGCATGCAACATACGCAATGCCACTCAGACATGCCGCATCATGAGCTGAAACCCTGTGGACGCTCTAGAAACAGCACAATTGCAAGAATTGCTGTTGCGTGAGATCCATTCTAGTAGGTGCTTTTGAACAGGGTCCTGCAGTGTGGACAATGCTCGATGGGTAAAAAAACCAGCCGATGTGAGATAACCCGACCAGTAGCATCAGTTCATTCCGCAGTTCTGAGCCATTCCAATCCGATGGATGAGAATCCGACCCGGAATCCACCTTCATATTTGAGTGGCATAGGCTTAGGAGGAGAGGGAAGAAGGGAGTTTCTGTAGCTGTGAGAGTCGAAACACTTCCTGGAATCTCTATGATTTCCATACTGTTGGGATGGCATGCATACAATTAAAGTAACCCGGCGTGGAAGACAAACGACTGCTGAGGGATGTGCGATGGCCACTCGAACCAAGAATTGCCGGCAGCGCAGGCGGCGCAGACAAACGAGCGGACCATGGAAGGCAGACGGCAGGCGGGGTAGGAGAGACAAATGGAGAAACGATCCCACGAACACGCCACCGGTGCAAACACGTGCCTTCGGCGCAGAAATGCATCAACTGAATGAGTGCCTGTGGCAAGTGGCGGCGAAGAGCCCAGCCTAGTGACTAGCGACCTGATGCAGACTTTTTTTCCTGATCTAGGACCTCAAACGCATCCTCCAATCAAAAAAAAAGTCTGATGCTCACATGAAGTGCTAAGCGCGTCGCAGTCTTCGGAACAATGTCCGAGAACAACTCGCCTCAGTTACCAAAAGGCGGAGCCTCACAGTGGCTTTAGCCTCCCAGCACTAATTAAGCCCATAATCGCGCCAGGTGTCAAACTATGCGCACAGCTGGATGGCCAGCAACCTGCTCTTTCTTGCATGGAGTAAAAGTCGCGAGATCTCGTACCAGTCCTCGACGTCCAGGAAGACGCGAGGTCGCTCTGTGAGGCTCTCTCTTGCGCGCTTCTGAGCCTCCTTTCGCACCTCGGCCTTTCAGCTCAGAGGTGTTGCTTCAACATGCACACTTCCATGAGGAGCTAGCATCGCTCTTGTCCAACCGCCACTGATTCGGAGCGTTGTTCCCAACCTTTGAAGCGGCAAAGAATATCAGGATCTGGATCTGCAGCAAGGGGTGCGGCATGCCTTCAAGGAGCCCTTGCCGACAACTCGCGAAGAGGCCAACGCAAAACCCAGACAAGACCTGGAAAGACCAGCATGGATCACAAGCATACAAGAGTCTCCCGCAGAGCAGCCCTGAGTGTCGAGCATGACCAGGGGGGTCGCACGGGCATCAGTAAAATGTATTCACTTGAGACAATATCTGGCCTTGCTGGACTTTGCTTGTTCGTTGAATAGCGGATTATCGGTGTGTAAGCTAGACACACTGCTCAGGGCTTAGGGGTTGGACCAAGAACAAGCTCAGGAGCTTCGGATACACGTTTTCGCCCTGGGCAACAGACTGCAGCTTGCTTCATAACTCCATGGAACGTGCACATCAGGCAACTACAGCCTCCATCGCAAGAGTGAGCAAGGCGAGAGCAAGAATGCAAAGCGCGGCCATTGGTGAAATCTCTAGATCATCTACTCACGCAAGATGCCAAGCTCTCACCAATCTTTTCATCTCAATGCAGGCTACCCCAGACGCCGAGGACCCCAGTTCGATTACTTCTCATTCAGCTACAGCATGCTTCCCGTGGGCTTTTCGCAAAAAGCACCTACCAGCATGCTACCAGTTCAGTGTACCCACCATTATCGCTGTGCTGAGGCAAACTCCTGGCAGTGCTGTTGCAGGATGCCGGAATAATAAAACGGCTTCCAGGGCCAGTCCTCAATTCGCACATCTCGAGGATCCCGCAAGTTGACGAGAACCACAGCGGGATGCAAATGGAAAGCTGGGACGCAGATGCACCTGAGCACCAAACAAGCACGCCGTGAGCACGCCCACTTGAGAGGCAAGACATGGCCACTTAACGCAAAACGGGCACCAGGCTCTGTTCGAAATGAGTCGTGCAAGGTCTGGATGATAGATAAAGAAACTATGTAGTAGATAAGAATGAGGATTTGCGACGGCGTTAAGATCGATGATGAGGAGCAGGAGCAGGACGGGACGTGGACGACAGCGACAAAGATGAGTGGACACAGAAAGCTGTGGACAAAGGAAAAATATACACCGAAGACCGACAAAACACATGCGCAAGACTGTGAAGCTGATAGACATGACTGGTGTTGATCAACATGAATATGGTGATGGTAACTGACGGCGCTGATAATGGATATTACGCTTCTGATAACGATGACGATGATGATAATAGCGGTAGCCATAAATATAGTGGCAATGATAGCGATACTGGCGATGATGGCTAAAGCCAGGTCGTGCCAATGACACAACTGTGGCAAATAATGATAATTCAAACAATGATGATAAGATGATGATATTGATGACAATGATGATGATGATGATGATGATGATGATGACGGCCAACCTCTACTACTACTCATAATGATCGAAACTTGTCCTGCCACTACCTGCTGCAGCAAGACTCAATTCAGCCTACCTTACACCAGCTTTCGCAGCTGCGGCTGATTAACAGGATCGGCACCTGTGGAGGCATAGCACACAGCAAAGCCTCAGAAGCGTACTGGGTTCCTCCTCCTCCTCGGGAGCACGGACGCCAAACGGTCACCTGGCGTGCACAAGCAACTACGACTGCAAGAAACAGACTTGGCTATCGGCAGCAACTGTGGCGCGGGCAGCTCGTTCATGACCACCGGAAAAGAGGATATGTGGGACCTACGCGGCTCTGTGCTCCACTCATCAGCCTGCTCTGGAGCATTCTAAGAGCCCCGCGGATTCTACAACAAAGGGATCTGAGTCTTCAAAAGGCTGCGTCAGGAGCCTTGCAGCATTTACTACTGGTTGGCTGCCAAGTCCTTCCATTGCAGCTTGTCAGTCTCACGCGTGTCGGGCGCCGTGGGTGCCAAGTGTCTTGCCTGTCGGTTTTTGCAAGGCCAGGTGCGTAGGCCATCGGCATCCCTGTACAACTCTGCAACAAGCCAAAGCCTCCAGGCACTTCTGCAACGCCTCTATGGGCTGAAGCTGCGCACAGCGCAGCAGGTCCTCAGCTTGGAGCTGGGAGACGGGTTGCAGAGCTATTCGTCGGAGGCCTTGACAGGCTCGCCGGAGTGTCCAAGCACCTCCAAGCCGTCGAAGTTCAAGCTGCAGGGGTTGCCTTCGACGCGTTCTGCGCTCTTCTGAAGAGCCAAGAATCTAAGTGGAGGTGCACCGACAGGTCGAAACCCGGACGATGAAGAAAGGCTGCCAAAGAGGCTGCGATGAAACCTGACTTCACAGTCTTGTGAGTGTTTACAAACAGTACCAGTTTTGTTACTGAACCCAAGGACATAATTTCAGGAGTGGACGGCAGCTGAGGCATGCTAGCATTTGTCGGATCCCCGTGACTCGGCATGACCTTCCAAGGCGGGAAGCATAGGCGGAGGAAAGCATGCGGGAAGCATGCGGAGCGCGGAGCCCAAGCCTGGACGGGCTTGGCCTCCGCCAGCGGCAGCATCTCAGAGCCCATCTGATGCAACGCCGCTCCAACGGCCTCGAGAAAGAAGAGGTGTCATACAGTTGTTCGTTGGTCCGTTCAAAGAGTGCTTGCTCTCAAACATTCACAAAGTCTTCCCAGTCTCCTTGGCGTCACCAATCCGACAGCTCTGGGCAAAGCAGCCGCCACCTGAGTCAGCTTGGGATCTGCTCGGCGCTAGCGAAACTTTAACTGCTGCAAAACTGCAACTTGTCTGGAGCTAAGAAGCACACACACCACAACATGCTGGATGGCTGGCCCTGATACCTGTCATTTCACCATGCCAAATGACAAATGCTCTGAACTTAGGTCCATCGGAGCGCTCAGCTGTCCACACCGCGCCTTGCCGCATAGAAAATCAAGAGCCTTTCCTCGGGCCTGCGATAACCCATGGCATCAGATAAGCCACACACACTCTGACAACTCCAAAATGGCACTGTAGTTTGAAATGAAGTGTAAGAAGTGAGACTTCACGATAGCAGCTGACAAGAAGTCGGGCACAACCTGGTATAAGGATAAGTGTTCAAAGACTTCTTGTTGGACTATGGGGGGCACCTCCGACAGTGTCGTGTCACCGAAGGCCAGACCAGACACAAAGGCAACAAATGACCTTCGGGTCTTTTGAGTTGCTCTGAGTGGAATTGTATTCACGAGTACGAGCGCGGAAACTTGGTTCCTAGCGACCCTCGCGTGGTGGGCCTCAGCTGTGCAAGCGCTACGAGTGCAGATTGGGAAAAACTCAGGGGTGGCCACAAAGGCCCCGGCGAGGGCAGCGGCGGGGCAGGGGGCATCCTTCTCCGACAGGCAAGAGCAACACAAGCCCAAAAGTGCTCCAAATGCTCCGAAACCCCAGCCCCTGGCACCTTGGAAGCTGCACATCATGCACTTTCAGCGTACCAGCCTCCAGTCTTGGCATGAAGCCCTTCGTGGTGAAATGGTTGAAGCGTGGCAACTTACCGTACCATCCGTGCCTGTGTTGCTGCGCCACGCACAGCCAGGACAAATCCAGTAGCAAGCACAGCCTGTTGCGAGGTTGAAGCTGCGAGGTTGCGTGTTACTGTTGAACCGTATTCATCTCTCAGTCTCACGCAAGAAGCTGAGGAGAAATTTCCAGTTGGATCCGCATGACACAATCCTGGCAGCCCAAACGAAGCATGCAAACTCCACCGGTTTCGACTCACGTCTCGTAATTGTAAGCCGCATGAGGGCAAGCAAGGGCTGACTGACACACTGCATCTGCATGACGACAAGCGAGCGTTTTTTGCACAAGCCTTGCGATTGCAGTGTTTGCCTGCTTGTTTCGCGTCGTCACCACGTAATGACAACTCATTCGCTAAAGCCTATATACAATGAATCCGCACAGTGGTTGTTCATGAGCAAGCACAAAGACTGTGTCTGTGTGCAACCTGTGGTGCACACAGGAATGCAGTCACACTTGCGTTGATCTTCACTACCAGTTTTGGAAAACAAAAGCTGCTGTCAGTTTGGGATGCATGCCATGCTGCTCAGCTCACACAAATGGTTCAAAATTTCATGGTGCTTGGCTGCAGCCACGCATCGGCGTTGAAGCCATGTTTGGTTTGAAGAAAACACTTTGCTTGATGCAGCGGATGAAAACGAAATCAATTTCAGCAAATTCAATTTGCCATCTAACAGCACTTGGAAATCATGAAGCACAAGCAGGTTGTCTCCCAGCTTCGCAATGACAGCATGAATCCGCTCCAGTGAAGGCTTTGGGAAATCCGAGGGCTGCGCAATCGCACTTCTAACAACGAGTTGAATGTTTGATTTGCAAATGACTCGTTCGTTTCCAACAGTTGAAACATGTTCTCCTTATTTCGATTCATGGACATGGCAGGAAATGGAGGTTCCAACAAGCAGCCAATGATTCCACATGCTGGTTTCACTTGATCATACCGATTTGGCTCCGCATTGGGGCCATACTTCTGGTTGTAAACTTAGCACAGCGTAGCTAGGCAACTGGAGGGGAAGCCATGGAAAAACGTCTCATGGTGCGCCTGCGACATTATGATTGAATGTTTAACAAAATCACGTTTTGCAAGTTCATTCTGCACTGGAATCAATATGGTATCCGCCAGATTGATTGCAATCAATATTCCAAGCGCAAACGAATACATAACAGTACAAATAGCAACACAATATCGACAGACGAACGCATGTACCAATAAAGTAATTGAAACTGAAACATTGGATAACCTTACAGCTGCAGTGGCCTGCGTGCATTTGTATTCTCTAAACAAAAGGGAAGGGCAAGGGGTTGGGGGGGGGAAGCCCCCCCGACTTGCAAATCATTCAAAACAGTGGAAAATGATGGAGGTGGTGAAAACGCTGCGGGGTATGACGAAAAAGCATGAAAACATGATGAAATGGAAGCACCATGCCAACGTGATGGAAATCCCCGAGCAATACGAAAATGTGACTGAAAATGATGGCAATGTAAAGATCTAGTGAAACATGATGATGGTAATGATGCTGATAAAGAGAAATACAGGCAAAGATGAAAAAGACTGAAATATGATGAAAGTGAAAACAATGAAACGTGGCGACAGAGGATAACACCTGTTGGACAGTTATGAAACATGAACATAGCTGAGACATGCCAAAATATAGTAACAAACCCTA